TCTTAAAAAAGGCATTTTGTAAGCTTTAGTTGACATTAATTTTCATTCAACCTCTTTTGCCGCCTCATTCATAGTAACACCTTTTGGATATCGCGAAGGAAAGTAACGCCATTAAGAAACTAGTGAAACAAAATGAAATGAATGAGAGACGATTAAGGTCAGCTCAAAGTAGGTTTGATCAAAAAATGAGTGGATCTAAACGATCGTGAAACTCTAGAGAAATATACAACTCCTACTTTAAACAGCGTTTCCCTTGTTACCACCTGAATAAATTCCTTTTTTTTTTCCCTCTTAATTGTTGCAAAGATTATAAGAAACCGATATGTAGACGCTATATATTTATATACATCATGTGTGATGTGCGGAGAGAAGAATAATAAATGATTTGTTTGCTAAAGAGGATTAACCCGTCTGTGCCAAAAGTGCCTGCCTGTCCATATTGTAATTGCAAGTAAATGATCGAGCTCTTCAGTTTCAGACACTGGAACGTCTCCTGATACTAAATTAAGTGGAAAGAAATCATCAGTGATGAAGTTTCCTAAAGATGTCGAATGCATCACTCATCCGGTTCAGTACACGAGTTTATGGTTAAAATTCCAAACCATATGATCTTCTCTTCATCTTTTCTTTTTTCAGTTTTGCATCCAGCACCGATGACACTTCTCTCTCAAACTAGGTCTATAAAAAGTTGTCTTTGTTTTTCCGATAGTTTTCTAAGTTTTTTCAGGGTAAATTTTAACCAGTAGATCAGAGAAATCAAATTCACTGTCGGCAAAGAGCGCCTCAAAGGTAAAAAATTGAACGCGCTTTTAAGTGTCTTAACAAAAAGTGCGACAAAAAGTGACGCAATGCATATTTAAACCAACAGGAAAATAAATATGAAAATCCTGAGTACTTTGTTTTGTTCTTTTTCTTCAGTCGTTGTAAAATCGCCTATAGAGGATGTCATATTCCAATGAACTTACATTTACCTAATTCGTACTTTCATATATTTTTTTTTTTAAATCTGGGAACAAAGCTTTCAGGGAGTCGTAATTATTAACTGAGAACCTTTGCACGCGTCATCCTTTGCACGCGTCATCCTTTGCACACTTGATTCTCTACTGCGTTATCTGGTATTGATCACCAATACAGTGTACGCCACTGTAACTGATGTGAACAGAAAAAGTGATTAGAACTGTCACGTTTTCACATAATCATCACGAAAATTCGCAGTTGTGTTGCTTCGGGGCTTGCTAAAAGTTGTCTTTTGTCAGTTTAGATCATATTATGCAGATTGAGTATTGTGTTTCGATTTCTATCTCCATCTACGGCTTCTCTTGTTTTATCTCGATGGAAACTTATTCCTTGCTTAAAAAATTTGCGAACGGAAAAACAAACTTGCAAATTTTTATGAGAAAGATGGCTTTTTTGATAGTGGGAAGCCTACAGCAAATAACCGCATCGCGTTTTGCATAAAATAATAATTTTAAGTGTTCTTTTACGGAAACCTTTATGATTTTAATAGAGCGAAATTGTCTGTTGCTTTAAGAAAGAAAAAAAAACTGTATGCTTTGTCTTTTTGATCAGCACATTTCCAAGGCTTACTTAGCTGGGAGCAGATATCTGTCCATTTGTCACGCTTTGGGTTTTTTTTAACACACTTAAGGCAAAACACAAGGTTTTGCTTTTCTATGATTAATACAATCGATAATTTGATCATGAAAATGGTCTTTTACCCTGGCTTGCTGTTTAGTGCGATATGCTGGCATTGAAGGTAAAGTTAATTTTCACGCAGAACGCGTTTGATGTTGACAGGGACGGCATCGTTATACCAATATCGATGTTTATATCAAGCTTGGCGTAATTTTTTATCAACGTAATGCTTTGTTGATCTCCAACATCCTGAATCCTTATCAGACGAAGTACCTTTCGGCTCAATTGAATTTTACACACGTGGCCAGAGTTGGAATAATTGCTTTTCTCGCCAAATCCGCCGAAATCCTGAATACGTTCGCTTTATGATAAAGTGATCACACATCTTTTCATGTACAAAATGAAGACAAGCTGCTGCGATGATGGCATGATCGTGGTACGTTGGGAATGCAAGGAACGCTCGGCCATCAACGTCATTTAATCAGCCAAACATTATCTGTTATTAGCCAGGTATGTTACCCTGTAATTTCTTCGATGATGTAAGCGAAATAAGATTAATGTTGATACCTACGAAAAACTCCAAATTCCAAGGTGTGATCGAAAGGGACGATCCCTCTCACAGCAGAGGCAACACGAAACGCAAGCGGATAATAATGAAATGACATTTTTTATCAAAAACCTGGCTACAATAATCGAAAGATATATTCTAAGTTACAACTCTCCTTTTGCCATAAACAAACTTTGTATATAATTGCGAAAGAAACTAAATTTAGTCGAGTAACTATTTCGTGTTGACCTTCGCCTTCAGTGAACACTGAAGGCGATTAAGACTCAATAAAGCAATGATCTGCCTGAAACGATAGGAAAATCTCTAGTGCCTCAGTTTTGATTTTGTTTTGTAATAATGAGGCCAAGGTCTTTCTCCGCGAACAATAAAGTTACTTTCAGTGTATGGTAATACCTTTGAACAGCGTTAAAAGTAGGGTAAGCTCGACATGCTATGGCGCATGATCTCAACAGATTAAATCGATTACTTTATATTCAAACCTGATCTTTAAAGATTAAAAAAGAAATTTCTAACGTAGGCATCAGGAAATTGGGAAAATTTTCTTCTCACCCACAGAATGAACGCATAAGACAAATATTTCTTGGGTGATTGTCCATTGCTCAGGCAAAGAAGTTTCTCTAAAGCGAAAGCTACTTACATATTTTACATCAGTTAATATTTTTCATTTTAAGTTATACGTTAAAACCGAAAGGTCCTGCTGTAAAATGGGGTCAGAAGTCCATCTAAGAAAACGAACAAACAATGCTTTTTTGTTTTCATTCATCTATTTACTTATTTTGTCATTCATCCATTTATTAGGCGTCACTTGCGTTAATTTTTAATGACCTGTAGATCATAAAGCGGGTTATGGTCATCCATTGACGTTAAAAAATTCTTCAAAAAATTTGCCACATGTTAGAACCACGGGGTTCCATCCACAACACTCACTGTTTCCCGGTACACGTTTCTGTCTGAGGATTGAAAACTCAAACGGGCTCGATGACTTCGTTTTATTTACAACTCAAGTTCAACTAAGCCAGTTGAAACTGGTCACTCACTAAAAGTTTAGCTTTCAAAACTAGTCACTTTGTTGGGTCAGAGACCACCTTAATTCACGAAGGTCTGAGGCGGCCCTGGACTCACGGTAATCTACTTTACGTGAATCGTTCAAACCACTCAGATCGTCTACGAGTCAACGAAACGTTCTGCTAAAGATAAACTTTTTTTTGGGATAGTGATCCACAAACGTTAAATATGTTATTTCTTACCATTTTGAAGGAAATAAAGCTAAAGGTGTGCCTGTATTGCTACTAATAATGGTAATAATAATAATAATAACAAAGGAAAATGTACCGAGATAAAATATAAAATTAAGAAAAATAAATGCAGTAATTATCTTGGAGTTTGCATTTTTGGCAAACAGAACCTGACATATTGTTCGAAGACGTTTTAAGCTAATTAGATGGATCATTGCAAAACTGAGTAGAATTCAAGATACAATCGTTTTAATACAATCTAGGAATAGGAAGCAGTAGGACGTATAACATTAATTGAAGTAATTTCTCAAAAGTGCGTTGCAAATCCAGAGTTTACTCACGCCATAGCGATCGAAAAGTCGGCTTCTTTTATTTCGCAAGTAAAAGCTAATTATTGTCCTAAAATTTGCTAATTGTAATTTACGATGGCTTGAAGCTTTAACCTCGAGAAAGGGGCCGCTTAAGGGAATCTAAATGATTTCGAGAAGCTATAAGTGAATTCGTTAAAACGAAAACGTGACAAACGTGACTAATGTTTATTGACGAGAAGTTTCGTTTACGAGTCAAACGTGATTTACTTGCGTGTTACCACGTTACGTGTGAGTCAATATTGTGAGCTAAGGAAGCAACATGTCACCTCTTTTGTTTGGGTTCAGGCGGAGTTAAAAACGTCCTCAACGCCTTTGATAAGGGGAGCATTTACATGTCATTTCGCTTTCTCAACTCTCGACTACAAAAGGAAGATTCGTGCTTCCTGAAACACTAAATTGGGAGTTAGTCTTCACCCTATTACGGTAAGGCGTTTTTTGTGGCTTTAAGTATGACAGAGAAGAGGAAGAAATGGAACTTAGTTAGCATGTGAATAATAGTTAACACTCTTGCATGTTAGTTCCTTATCGCCTTGGTTCGTAATGCTGGGCAGCTAAGTTTAGGTTACCTGCAATTTCTTCTTTTCTCGTCGACACCTTTTGTCAAATAATCCTCGTAAACTGTTCCACCTTCTAAATAAGTGCGTGTCAGGTAAACATCGAAATTAGCAACCGTTGCGTGTATCCCTTAACGTGGTTTTTTTTTTTCCATGAAGGTAAGGTTAGATCACATCAAAATATCTCATGGCACAATGGTGTTGGTGAATACACACTCCCAACAATTACTTAGAAGTAGATTGAATGTCCTCTTCGACGAAAAAAACAAAACAAAACAAAAAGCAACAACAAAACAGCGTCGATGATAGTAAAGGCATATAAACTTGACAAATGAAATTTCTAGTGAAACTATTCAGTATTATGGAAAATAATCGAATATTTGTATTTCTCATAATATACAATTCAACTTTTTTTGAGAGTATCCATGACTGAAAGTGACATATTAAAAAAACCTTGACGATCGCAGATATAAGTGCCTTTAAGAAACAATGACAATGATAATAACAATAATAATGATAATAATAGTAATAGTAATAATAGGTAAAATAAAATTAATAATAAGACTTTTCGTTTTTGCAAATGTCAACACGACTCAAATGGGCCCACCATGCTATAACTGTAACCATAATGCTTTTCAAACTACAATCAGCCTTCTGTACAAGTTAAAGGTCTCGTATCTCAACCAGAGCGCCTTCCAGCTCTGTATTTACTTTTCAATAGTTTCTAACAAGGATTGTTAAATGAATATTGTGTGAAGAGAATCTTCATCAAATCGAGAGCTGCAGCATTAGCTGAGTGTGGAAAGAAGGTCTTAGTAAATATAGTTTTAGAGACGTGAGCAATAGGAAACTCGCGTTCAAGTTATGTAATCAGATTCTGATTAATAGGCGAAACATCGCTGCAAACGTGGTCATGAAAACAAGGTAAGTAATCGACGGGTCATAATTTCAGTATTTACTGTTATAAAAAGCAATCTGAGGCTAGAAGCTAACATCTCTCTTACAGAACAAACAAAAAAATCATCGGAAAATTACAGGACGATCGTAATTTTTTTTCCCGACATGTCACTTGAAATTTCTTTATTTACAGTTCGCAAATCTGCGCTTGTTCTGTCGATATTTCAAAATAGCTAAAAATCATTTTGGTTTACCAAAAGAAACTAAATTTTTATTATTTTTTTTTTAGCTTTACGATAAAAAAAGTACATTATATTCTTGGAAGTAGCATAAACTTTTCTGGAAGCCATTCCGAAACTTTCTTTTATTAGTTCCTTTGTGAGCGGCAAAGTTGGCTTATTAATTAATGCACAACAATAGATGTCCTTTTCAAAACAGAAATAAAATAACACATTTATAGAAAGTCTCATAGGAAAATTGCTCTTTTTCTAAAGCAAATTCAAGCAAAACAAATTAAATAAGGCTCATCCGACCTGAAACCGAATAAGAAGGCTTGGAACTCGATCTTTCGTTTTAAAATCAGGAAGCCGCAAACAATACATCTTCTCCAAATCTTAATCTAAACAGCGGGTGTTCACAAAAAATATTTTCTAATTCTGTTAAGCTTCTCCTTGTTTTGATACATTTTTTTGTCCATTTCGTATTCAAATCTTCTCGATGTTACACTGGTAATTGTCATAAGTCGGCCATGCAAAGTGTGTTTTATGTGTTTACGATCGTGTCGCACTAATTTTAGGTGGACAACTGTGCGTAATGAATTCATGCTTATACTTTAAAATCTCGAAAAAAAAAGACAATTTTCGAACTAAAACTTGTCTGAAAAGCAGATTATGCAATTGTTTCACTAGCTTTTCTTTGACACAATCAATGCTTTGCTTATGCAGGAGGCTGAATATGACAGTTGTTTAATTTAAGGTAGTCAAAACTTCGGTGAACAAATGGGTTCAATTTTGCGCATATTCTCAGTAAATACGCCGCTCTTTAAACTATACTTCTAATTTGACAGACACATCGTTGTGAAACGGTAGAAAGGCGAATAACCTACATTTTGGACGGCACTTTTTTTTAAAGTAAGTCACATGTTAGTTTTGGATAATTGCAATTACAATTATCATTTCAATCTGGCAACTGCGTTCAAACGTGGACATGTAACTGTTATTCTCACGCAAGAATCGTATAGCGATTTGCATTTTCTGTGAGCCATCATCATGGGTTGCTAAGTTAGGCGTTGTACGAGCTTTGTACTATTTCGATTTCAAGAGATTGTAGTTTTAGATTATTTTAGAATTCCCCTCACAAGACGATTCTGAAAGTAGGATTAATGCTTTATTGACGACGACGTATATTGAAAAAGATTGCAAAAATTATACCATGTGTTAAGGAAATTCGAGAACATTTTTATGTTGGGTAACTATTCAAAATTTGCATGATGAATCGAACTTCATTTTGTCTATGCGCGTTGACCGAACCATTTAGAGACAGAACTTAGGCATCTGAACAAACACGGGACTTGAAGCATCCTTTTAACGTATTTACTAATGTAATAAGGCTATATATATTTAGCCAGCAATATTCAGTGTTGCATGGTGCACCAGCATTGTGGAAAATATTTAATAGTTCTAGAATAGTTAGCAATATAGGATAGCTAAGTTAAGTTTACGAATCCTTCGGTTATGAATAATAAATAATACCGGATAAGCCACTTAGTAAACAAATCTTCTAACCTACATAATCTCAAAACGGGTAAAACATTTCTTCTCCGTGATAAAAACTAAAAAAAAAATAAAAAATAGAAAAGCAAAACAAAACAAAAACATCTTTGTAGCTTGATTTAGAATATTTGTCATAGTCGCTGAATCTTTTGCCCTATTATTTCTTACTCAGGACTGAAAAGGTTCTTTTCGTTTAGCGTCAGGCAAAACATTTGTTAACTGAGGAAGGTCGCACGAATCGATCTTCACAGCCATCCGAGTTTTAAGTTTCTCCTAAGAGGAAAATCAACAACGAGCATGGTTAAAGTAAATGTTGCAGTTGACATGGCAAAATAGAAAGTAGGTGAAAAAAAACCGTCTTAATCAAATTTTGTTAGCTGTCACCGGCTGGAGTCTATTTCTAAACAATATCTGAGTAAGAATGTCTCGATGCCCGTGAGTAAAATTGTTGAAGCTAAACTGAAATCATAGATAAACAACTTACACCCCATTTCCGATAATAGGGGAAGAAAATATTGGCATATTGCTTTGATTAAGTGAAAAGAAGTTTCTCGTTATTGATATTCACATTTTCAAGGTGTTTTATTACTCCCGAAACAAAAATGTTTATCACTTTGTTTTCAATATTGCAATAGACTTTAAGGCACAAGGCAAATAACTGAAGAAAGAGCATGTTTTAGCGAAATTCACTACGACTGACTGGCGACACACGATATTCATCGGCGCAGTTGGCGAAGAGTTACGACCCCCGCCATCAATAAGAAAATGACATCGATCTAATAACCCTCACTGTATCAGCAGGCTCACTACAAAACAGCAATTCATAAATGCGCTATTGGTCAACTTTTAAAATTGTCTCGAATCACTCGGTATCATCTCTTTGAGCTGCTTCCTGTGTTTCCTCTGTCATCACCTTTTATTCTTCTTTTAGATCTTTTTAACAAGAATAAGAATAGAGAGTGGATTGATATTTCGTTGCGGCGAGCGGCGCTTAGGTCGGGTTTGCTAAATTTCCCTCATATATCGCGAAAAAATTTTCTTCTGGTTTTACATGTTTTGTTTGTTCGTATGATTATATGCTTTTCTTTCGTTTTATTTTGTTTTGCTAGGTTTGTCTGTTTACGCTTCGTGTCGAAGAAAATTTAAGCATTATGGGGATGTCATCTCGACCTGACCCAAGGTGAATTTGAAAAAGCCCTTTTATTTATCGAAACAAATGAAGAGATTAATCAAAATAGTGTTAAAAAAAGAAAAAAAAAATGATTAAAATAGTCGTTCCTCGGCCTGGCAAAAGAAACACTATCGAAGAAATTGTTTTCAATAATTCTTTGGCATTGAATTTTAAATTTTTAATAAGTTAATAGCTCTATGAGGTTTCTTGAAGTGCCTAAAATTGAAAGCAATGAATACATTAGGTGCCTTAAAAAGTGCGGCGAATTGCTACCCATGATCACTGATATGATGTTGCTTGGACGCCGTACGGAAATTGGCACTTTAATCAAGCGGTAATCCATTCCTAAACCTCAGCTCTGGTTCGATTATTTTGTTGATTGTCAATGAGAAAGTTCACTCGAGAATTAAATGTTTTAACGATATGAAAGTGTCCTATCGAGTTTGTTTACTCTCCAGAGGTGAACCAATTACAGCTGTACTTATCAAACATTTATTCTCTTTGCAGATCCTGGTGGTTGGTGATAAACAGCCCGAAGACGTTTTAACTGAGAAAAAAAATCGTCAGGCATTCATAAAGATGACCAATTCAACATCAAACAGTTTGCTTTTCAATCTTACGAAAGACAAACTTGGTGGCTATTCGGATAATGTCACTCGAGAGTCCAATGAAATTCAAGTGAACGTTTACTCAAAAGTTTTGAAGCTCACTTTGTATGCAATCATCTTTCTGGTCAGCGCCATTGGAAACACTCTCGTCTGCATTATTATATTCAGGAAGCGAAAGATGAAGACCGTTACAAATTATTTCATTCTGAATCTGGCTTTCGCAGATCTGACACTCACGCTGATTTGCATCCCATTTGACATACCTGTTCAAGAGATGAATTATAAATGGCCCTATGGTTCGTTCATGTGTGGTGTCCTTTATCCGCTCCAGACCATGTCCTTATTTGCATCAGTGTTCACACTAACAGCTGTCAGTCTGACTCGTTACTGGGCCATCTTACACCCGTTACAACGACAGCTTAGCATCACCCACGCTAAGTGGCTGATTGCAATTATTTGGTTGCTGGCCATAGCACCTGTCTCCCCGTACATCAATGTTCTGGGAATCGGCGAAACCGGGTCATGCGACGAAACCTGGAAAGACGTCCAAAGCAGGAAGGTTTACACGGTAGTTCTCTTTGTTGCACAGTATGTTGCTCCTCTGAGCATTATCGCCGCAGCGTATGTAAGCATTTGTAAGGAGTTAGGAAAGAAGAAGTCAGAAACAGAAAACAGATTCCTTCAACATGCCAAGAACGAAGAAGCTTCTAAAGTTACTCGCATGTTGGTTGCTGTAACCATTCTGTTCGCAGTCTGCGTTCTCCCAACCAATATCATGTGGTTATGGCTGGACTTTGGCAACGCCGAGGACGAATTTTCAGAATTCTGGGAGCTGGTTGCATTTTGCAACATTTTAACTTTTGCTAACAGCGCTGCCAATCCAGTGTGCTACACCATAACAAACGCAAATTACCGAAAAGAAATCAAGTGTCTTCTAAAAGGATGGTTCAACGGGCGAGACGAAGTTTCGTTAAGATCTGAACATGAGACCAGAATGCTGGACATCTCCAGAGACCAAAGTTGTAATCGTATTACAGTTGACACTTCCATGTAAAAACTCCAACTTTTATCGGCATCTCCAGCTTTAGTATTTATTCTTAACAGCTATAAGTGTGAACTCCATAATATGCCTTCATGGTAAGATTCACTCGTTAATGCAATAATTATGTTTTATTGCTAACAAAATGGCCTTGTTGGAACGTCACTAAAGAGAATTAATCTCGAGTCTCATCATTCCAAATCTCAACGGTTTTCAATGCCGAACCGTTGCAGCTAAACCTTATTTTAATTTTTTATTATTATGATTTTAATTTTTTCATTTCAGCCTGGCTTAAGCTACCAATGGTTTGGGTTATCAGTGCAAGTTTAGCTCATTTCACTTTTGCATGATAATTGATCGCTTTTTCCACCCGACTTAATGTTTTAGCAATTTATTTTACCTACAAAATAAACCAGGACATAGCAGCCCTGGAGGTTTCATGCCTGCTGGTATCAAATTGAATATAGTTTACACAGTCAAGCTGACTCTATAATTATAATAGTAAAAAAAGCCGATTAGTAGTTGACTTCTAGGAAGTACACAGTTGGTAAAGTACATAATAATAGTAAAAGAAACTTAATAAAGGTAATAAATTAAAAATGACTTGAAGATAGATTTGATCAAAACATTGCATGGAAAACACCTTGACCGTTCTAAATCTTCACATGGATGTGATTGAAATGAACAACATAATTAAGAAGAATGTTGACCGTTCTCTTCTTTTAACATATTAGTTCGAATTTAGAAAACACCGGCACTCATTTTAGCTTCTTGACTCTGCTGGCCTGCAAGTCAGCACACCATCTAGAAAACTTCTAAGATCGGTTCTCGCATCGTGCAGGATAACAGCTTAGATTTTCTTTATGCTTTCGAGCTTGGGTCATAAGACGTAGAATTGTAGAATCGATGGATCGATGAAAATTCAATCTACAAAACTAAGGCCAATGAATATTCTTAACTTGGGCTAAATAATTTAAATTTGTTGTCGCAGTATCGCAGGACTGAGGGGTGAGACTCGACGACAACGGGCGATTCGTGAGTATGTAAAATATTAAAGATGGTAAATAGGCGACTCATCGAAAAGCGAGGGTCAGCCGTTTTTTTCTAATTTTTCGATTTTGCAAAGTACGGAGAATGACTTGGCCACTTAACATAAATAACTGGCTTAAAATATAAAATAACTGGATTAAAATATGAAATACTGTCAGGCGGTATTGAGACCGAGAAGACTGATGTTTGTAGGCTGTCATTTATGGATTCAGTAATCGGCGGGCTGTAGCTATAGGTCACTGAGAAGGTACGAGAAAGAAAAGCATCAAGACTGATTATGTCTATGTAGATAGAGATGCTTTGGTAAAGACAAATAGCGTTACTCTTAAGAGTCATGTCATTCATTAGAATTATTTTAGTGAAAAGTGTATAGATCAAACGGAGCATAGACAATACAGAATATTTACTAATATGATCTGGTTTCCATAGAAGTTTGATACATTATAATATTTACTGACTAATAAAATTGGTCGTCAGACATAGTTATCACTCAACTGCGTTATCTACAAGGCTAATAACATCACCCACGTTCTCTAGTTCGGATCTTTAGGTTTACCATATCATTCTACATCGTTACCTTTTTAAGGTAAAGTATATTAATCCCTACTTTTACTTCTTCTTTTTCGCTTTTTTCGGTTGAAACGTTCTGTCATCAGGCATCTGAAGTTATCGATAACTTCGGGCTTGTAGGCGCCGTTGATTGAGACGTCCTGTATCATTTTAAGAGAACTAAGAAACTGAAAAAAAAAGAAACTGAAAATAAATTTGGAGAACAATCCATGAACTCTACAAGGACCATTCTGAAGTTTTGCATGATTGACGTTCGAGAAGTTGGTTTCAAAATGATGTGAAAACGATCATTAAATCATTTTTTTTTATACTCCTCATTTCCCCAAAGAAAGGGATGCTCCATTACTTCCTAGGCTTGGAAAACTACATTGTGTATCTTTTCAGATTCATCAGAAATTGTAAAAACCCTGATTTACCTCGGACTGTATGTTTTGAGGTCAAAAGGTATATCACGTAAGTCGCCTTCTCAATTACGCTGTTGACTCTTTCAAGCAGTTGAAAGGCAAAATCAAAACAATAGTTTAACAAAAAAATCCTGAACTTTACCCTTTCAATCGGCCAATTCTCGTTTTTTGAGATTCTCAAGCCAAACGCCGGGGAGCGACAGAATCAAAGTATATATTTGAAAAAGTCCAATGCATTTTTCAAGCCATTAGAACATCGTGAGTATGCTTAATGACCCTTCAACACCTTGAAATTGCTTCCTACACCGTTACTTGAAATCGAGCTATTTGTGAGGAGAGTAATTATGAGATTGTACTCACCAAAAACAATCTACTCCTCTCGAAAGTTTTGCTTCTCCAGGAAGGCCTGGGTTCAAACGACGCAAGTCATGGACGAAGATGACAGGATTGGTTACGAAAAGCCTAAATCATTGAAGCATTTGCTGAATAATTTCTGTAGCTACACGACTGCTGACGGACTTGGGCGGCTATCAGAGAGCAGCAATGTGATTAGTCGCTTGTTATGGAGCTTATTTTGCATCGGGAGCATCTACAATGTTTGTGCTGCAGGTGTATAATTTGTTTTCAATATTCCTCAGTCGTCCTGTCTCAACCATGGTTAAAGTCGAACATGAAAGCGTAAGTGTTCTTGGTTTACTGCAAAACAGCGAACCCCTTTGATTGTTCAGCGAGATCCCTGAGAGCATATCCAAAAGAGCTAGCATACAATGAATGAAAAATTCATCGAATTCAACTTGTTTAGCCTGTAGTTGGAGCTACAGCATCGTGTAACACAACAGGCTAGAGAAACCATCCAAATTCAGATAAAATCAAAGCGCAAACAAAAATAAGAAAAAAGACGAGAAAAACACCAACAACAACAAAACAAAACAATTCATAAAAAAAATAATAAAGCAGCAGCAATGAATTCTAAGAATTTTAAAGCAGATGGATCCACGTTACGCACTTTTCAAAAGTTATCCCTAATGGCAGCTATGGCAATGAAGCATGTTATTGTGAGGGCTTTGCCTGTATTATTGTTAATCCACATATATGCATCTACATTAGTAGATGTTTAATGATCGATGGTTGTGTTTACCGTCAGAATGCCAAGTTTCCTGCCGTGACCATATGTAACATGCTTCGCTATGATAAGCTTCCAGTCAGCTACATCGATGATATAATTGCAAGTATTAGCTCACACGGTAAGTACTTAGGGCACCTCCAGTTTTTCTAAGGCTTGGTTTCCATGCACATCAATACCACTAAGACTGTCTCAATTGACTCCAATCGGAAGACTCAGACGGTCCGAGCAATCATTTGGAAACCAGGCTTAAGAACAAACTCAGGTGAAGTGGGAAGTCAATCTTGCATGTTGTTATTGATAAATTGGTCCGAACCATATTATTCCTGATCGCTCGAATATGTGTTGGGACGCTCGATGAAGCGGAGAGCAGGCTTAAGGACCTTAGTCGTTTTGTGATGCTTTTGATAAACGATCCCCAGCCTCATTCCTAATAAAATTAAACGCGAACCAGAAAAACAGTATCTAGTACACAAATTCAAAGAACCAGTCTTGTTTTCATCCCTATTGATGACCGTCACCTTTATTTCTATTCAAGTGAACTTATCAGTTTCAATCGAACAAAGCACAAACTTTGAGGCCTTACTTGCTAAGATTGCAGGGGAGAATCATTCAACACTGTTCAAACTAGGTCCTCAATATGAAGATTTCGTGTTCGAGTGTTCTTTTAGAGGCTATGACTGCAGGTAACTCATTCATCGCTCGTTTCTGTCCAGAAATTCATCGATTCAAAATAGAGGATCCGATATGCCCAGATATGCAATGTTAAATCAAGTTGAACCTATTTTCTACCAGAGCTGAAAACATTTTACTAGCCTTTTCATTTGGTGTCGATGCTCCTGGACAGGTTTTTTTTCTTCGAAACCGGCTGACCTATTTCCGATCGATGTAAAATGCATGTAAAAACTATGAAGTGACAGGATTCATAAATTTGGATTGGAGCTAATTTCATTTAAAATAAGAAAGCTGGCCAAGTTGGCCGAATATAGGCTCTAATAAAAACTGAGAAACTATACCCTGCTATAGCTAGCCATCTGGATTACTGTTAGTAGTATTAACAAAAAACCATACATATCTCTTAATCGTTTATTTCTCTAGCGGTTGCGCTGCCTTTCGGCGATATTCAACCTTATATTTTATTTCATTACCGCAGAAACTATTCAAAGCAATGGCATAACTTTTGCGATTTTCGTTTTGGTAACTGCTTCACGTTTAACGGCGGACTGGACGATTTTGGTGGGCCTCAGAAAATTTTACACTCACACAATACTGGACCTGCTGGAGGTGAGATTGTCGGTGTATGTTGCTCATTTCTTTTATAACTTGCATAAGGTCAGCCTATGAGCATGCTTTTTTATTCACTGGATGCGTGACATGAATATACCCCGACTGTGAGTTGGAAAGTATACGATTTCTGTAATAACTTGACTATTGAGAAAAATAATATATCATGATTGGATAACCATGAAGGAAATATGAGAATATTCACTTTTTTTCCTCTTTGATCGATGAACACTATTCTGTAGAAGGCGTCCTCACTAAATTATAAAGGAAATTTAAACTGAAATTTAATATGATCGAGAACGGATAAATCGTGTATCAGGCTGGTAAGGCTAGAAAAACTAAACTACAGTTTTTCTTCGACTGTCCTTAGTTCTGAAATTGAAGTTGTTCATAGAACAGTCTCAAAGCACCCCACAGTTATCTCACGCTGCTGGTGCCAGGATTGTCATTCACGACCAGCCGGACAAATGCCATTTCCAGAAAATGAAAGTTATGATGTTTTTCCGAGCCCTTCAACCTTATTTGCCATCAGAAAGGTGTGAATGGAACAGGCTTTATTTTCGTAGGAGGTCTTTTGGCAAGCACTTTCATCTCAGATAATATGCCAGATAATTTTCGGACAAGAAAAAAAAATTAAAAACCGTTAGTCTATCTATCTCATCATTCTGGCGATGTCTCAGGATGATAGCGAAGGCACAAGTAATATAATGGTAAATCATCCCAAGTGCTAATAATCATTATAATTGTTAAGTGCTTTTACTGGAAATGCTTTGTAAATTCACCAAGAAGGAATAGTCATTAAAATATTTTTTCTGTAGCCAAAGTTAGAATAAAGGCTGATAATTTTTAAAGAAACTGTTTGGGGCTGCGTCGGTGGGGGTAACGAAATAATTTGAATATATCAACAAAGTTGAAATGGTAAATTAGTTCCGTTACGATTATAAAAGCTGACGTTTCGAGCGTTAGCCCTTCGTCGGAGCGAATGACGAGGGGCCAACGCTCGTAACGTCAGCTTTTATAATCGTAACGGTGGCCAATTTATCATTTCAACTTTGTTGATATATTCAAATTACAAAGTTAGAATAGTCTATGATTTTCAGGCAACAAAGAGCTCCCCAAATGTTCATGATGCCGACTATTTAAAAAAATAGGGCGTTCAGGATTAGTCTAAATCACCACAATGGGTTACTTCCGTTGACGCTGCATAGTCTTTGACTATTAATATTACCTATTTTACCATTGCCATCATTTCGTTTTTGTTTGTGTGTTTGTTTTCTTTTCTAAATTCGTGTTACTAATCTAAGTTCTTGATTTTGTGTCCCAGAAGAATGTGGTCTTCATATATTCATATCAGCATATCAGACACTGTCGAGTAGAGATTTTAAGTTAATTTTGTAGAGAGGAAAAATAAAACACCAAAAACATCAAATCAGTTGCACTTCTTATTCAATGTAAATCAAACGTGCAAGAATTAAATGTTAAAGAAAATGAATCAACACATGTGAGAACAAAGACATGATCAGTATGACGAAAAAGTGGCACTATGGTGAGCTCGCGAGTACTGTGCAGAATATAATTATAATCTACAGCGATTGTTTTATTAAAAGCCAATGACCATGTGATTCCAAGAGACAGAATTGAGTCGTCATTTCCACAATAATATTAATCTCCCCAATTGATCCACCATATTAAATTATCGGTCTTCCATCTTTGATGAGACACTCTCTCCAGAATCTTTAACTTGGACGTCTTAACGCACAGAAATTTGCAGTTTAAAATCTTCTCCTTACTCTTTCCTAGGCATCGCATACCCACGAGTAAAAACTGCAATAGTCCTCCTTTTCTTCCGTTTTTGCTTTTTTCGTTTGTCTTGTTTTTTCTTGTATCTTTTTTTTTTCTTTTTCTGTTTTTGTTTGTGCTGTTTTCTTTTTCTTTCTCTTCTGTTAAACTTAATGGTTCTTCTGAAAAATATAATTGAAAAGCTAGTAATGTCCTCATTTTCCATATTACACTTTACTTTGTTTAGGATAAGGTGCAGGTATTACCTTTAGAGTTTTGCCAATACTTTTTCAGGTTTTTACCAAAGGAAATCTAACTACAGTGAGTAGAATTGACACGGAAAAAAAACAGTAAAGAGCAAAATTAATGAAAACATGTCGCCTCGAATGCCTGGTTTAGGAATGAAATGGATTCTCTTGTCGATGAACAGTTTGTGTTTATCGTAAAATTGTTACAGTCTACCAGTCAAGGAGACCCATGGTTGATTAGATGAGCCATTCAAAGTGAAGCGGTAAAGTGATGTTTGATAGATGGCAATAGCACAGTTTCTCGGGATAATACTTCAGTTCTAGAAAGAAAATAGAACAAAACAAAACAAAAAAATTAGGATAAAGGACGCCACAGATGTAAACACAGCGTGACTAATATGTAGGGATATGAAAATAGTATTGTTACCTTAGAGCTCCTACCAGACGATTGTTCAGAGGTTCGAATCGAAAGACGGTTTCTTTCATGTTCGACACTGTGATTAATCGCCAATTTACTAATTTTTATTTTCCTTGGAAAGAGGGTAAGAAACGTTAACATAACACACTAAACTTAGCAGTCCTAAACAACTATACATTCAGTCCATTTGTTAACAAGAACATCCCACAATTATCATATCTAGCATATTCCGAATGGAAAATGTTGGCCACAATTTCGTATGTTTAAAAATGAATAACTCTAAACAAAGCCGCACGATAAATGAATTTCACAAACTTTTCAAACTCAATTATTAAAATAAAAAAAATTTAAAAAATAAGCATAAAACTGAGAATAAAACAGGTTGCTCGTCAACTTTTTCTTTTCCTAATTTGTTAAAGCTTTCCGAACTGTCAAATGGTATTCTATAGATCATGTTGTTACTTAGCAGGTTGAACCTTGAGATATTTTTCTCATGTTTACGTTCCATTGTTCAGCCCGTTTTACTAATTAAAGTTGATTAATTCCCGCTGTGACTTTTAGCAGTTTTGTTGGCTTGTATTAAAGGTGAAGGTAACAGCGAAAGAACGAGAAATGTCCCAAATCACTGGATATCACGAGTTAAACAAAAGGTATGACGAGATTTACGACTCCATCAACATTTACTTGTTACTTCTTTAACCAGCTACGAATCGTTAGTCATGCGTGTGTGATTGTGAGCGTTTTGTTTTAGTCAAGACCACCATAAGCTTAATGACACGATGATGCCGCCGGAGTTATAACTCCTCGCTTTTTAAAACTTGACTAACTTAATCATCCTTTCCTATCATGAAGTACGCTGCGTATTAATTCGTCTTATTTCGCTGAAGCAAAGATACTTTTTCAATTAGTTGCGCTAATAATAATTCTGGCCCGTGAGATTATGCTTTTTTGTGGTTACAATAAGAAGCATTTTCCTTGTAACCACTATTGTCTTAAAAGATGGAAAAATTTAGATATGTGGGTAAATGTATTTTTTCCTCTCGAAAAGAAATTAAACATTTGAATCATGCTGAAGAATTTGACGCTACTTACTCCTTCCAGGACTATTTAACGACAAGCTATTATTCATTTAATTCGGTGTGATTTCTGAAGATAACATGGGAAAAGAGGCTTCCGAAATCAGCAGAGAAAAAGACACTAAAACCAAGAAGCCTTCCATTAAAGAAGTTATTAGTAACTTCTGTGGCTATACGACGGCACATGGTCTTGGAAGACTGGCTGATGGTGGTGGGATTTTCCGTCGAGTGTCATGGACTTTGTTTTGTGTAGGTGCTATGGCGATGTTCATAGTCCAGACCAAGAATTTATTTGTTATTTACTTCAGCCGACCTGTGACAACTGTGGTTACTGTTAACCACGAGAGCGTAAGTAAGATCGAGAAGCTTGTTATTTTTCAGTGAATGTCTCACACACTGCAGTTATCCTTCTGTTCCAACCGGTCACTATTTAGCTCTTTGGAGGGGGAAGGGAGGTTTAGTCCCTCCATGAAGCGCTGCAATAGTCTTATGATCTCCCCTTATTGTATGTCGATTGTCAATAAATTTTCTACAGTCTCTCCCCCCCCCCCTTTATACTCTGTTGGCGACGACTATTCCCCTCCGTTCCACTTAGAAACCATTTGATCCTCCTCAAAATCCTTCACCTGCTCGGGTGAAAAATAATTGCTGGTTCCTAACTCAAATGTAGACTTAAATTCATGGTCACACAGTCCTTGAAGGTTTTTCCTGTTTGAGCTGTGTGCCTATCATATTGTTAAAAAAGATGTACAGTTTAAATGCATCTTCCTTCCAGCCTTTAATTTAGTGAACTAACTGCTTTATCTATTTTTCGTCGTTTTCAGTCGTTAGTTCTTTCAGGTTGTTTTGGTATTTTCTATGCGCAAAGATATTAATTGAAACTCAGTCATTTCTCTTCAATTCGATACTTACCTCGTAAGCAAATGGCGAGACCAATTCTGAAATGGGGCTTTGTGACAGCCAGACTAATCGGTCAGTCGAGTGACGAGGGTGTATCTCAATTGAGTATCGTAAAACCAGAATCAAACGCATCATGAAAGCCAGTCAGAACAAGGGAGAAGAAGCAAATAGTACTAAAGCCGTTGTTCGTTCCGTCGATTAAGGAAAAATAATTAGCAGTAACAACTGTTTAATAGATCAAGGTAATTTGTGAGAGTTGTGCACCATGTCACGATAATTATGCTAGTGTTCAACCATTTTCAGCATGTCAAATTTCCGGCTGTGTCCATCTGCAACCTTAATATGATTCGCTACGATAAACTCCCCTATGGTTTCATAGACGGTATTTTGGAGCATTTGAGAATAGAAGGTAAGGATGACTCAACAAATACATAAATGGAGCAGAGTGGCTTTGCTAAACGCCGGTAAAGCAGATCACAAACTCAGGAGTAATGGGGCGAGTGTTCTGATAACCTGCACTAACAGCCTGACCTGATAACTATAAAAATGAACACGGACACTCCTAGTGAGCCTGTTATATAATATTTTCATGTTTTAAATCGCAATGAAATTAATAACGATAGCGAAAAGAAATTTTAAAAAAATAACAAAACAGGCCAAAAAAAAAAAAATAAATAAACAAGCAGAATAAACTGAAAATGTAAGCATTTTTGAATATAAGGACACTATAGAAATAACTTCTAAGCTCTTGGCTGTACAATTATATCAATGTTTATTTGTATGCACACTTTCCAGTTCCACCCTATTTTGTCTAGTGTGCTTATATATGTTGAATTTTAGGGGAAAATGAGAGTGGAGATTCGAGAACCTCTCACGATACATTTAGCACTGGTGGTGTTCCCCCTGACCTCCCAAATGATACCGCTGGTGTCTTTACTGACAGTCTTGAGGACCCTACAACTGGTTCGTTACAAGGATCGACTCACACTTCTGATGTTTCCGATGTTGTTACACAAAGCATTGCGACGGAATCTCCGACAGCTCCTCCAGGTGATCCAACCGATGCCTCCACAAGTGTCCCAGGAGGCCCGATTGCTACCACTGATGTGCACACTGGTTTTCCAGGTGTCCCAACATTGTATCCCTCGGATGATAACAACTACGACTACAACAATGAATACGATCCAGACTATTTTTACGACTACGACTACTTTGGCTCCGACTATTTCTATTTAGGTGGGCCTGAAGAGTCCAAAGAAGAAGAATATAGGATTGAAGAAACTATCCGTGCTGAGCTTGCAATGAAAAACGATTCCGAGACTTATTCTATGGGACACCAGTTTGAAGATTTGGTGTTTGAATGTTCATTTAGAGGATATGATTGCAGGTATGTTGTCTTTTCAAAAAGGACAGCCAACACAAATCAATGTAAAGCAATCTTTAAAAAAAAAAAGGATCAAAAAAGAAAGAGCCAAACAAAACAACACACACAACAATCAAACGAACGAGCAGACAAAAGTACATAAATCTTTACTATAATCAATCTGCGAGGTTTATTTAACAATTATTCCACGAGCGCGCGTTGGATATGAGATGATAGATAGCCAACGAGGCGCGTAGCGCCGAGTTAGCTATAATCATCTCATATCCAACAAGCGCG